CTTTTGCACATGCCATTCCCTCTGGTGGAACACCAATCCTACTCTTTCCTGGCAGCAGAGCATAGTAGTTGTTGTGGACTAAATTGTGCCTTCCCCCCACCCCTCTTTCTTATGTTGAAATCCTAACCTTCAGTACCTTAGAATATGACTGTTATTTAGAAATAGGGCCTTTAAAGACGTAATTAAGGTAAAATGAGGTTATCAGGGTAGGCGCTTATCCACTACGACACAAACACACATCGAGGGAAGAGCATGTGAGGACACAGGGAGAAGGCAATCTACAAGCCCAGGCGAGAGGCCTCAGGAGAAATCAGTTCTGCTAACATCTACGTCAGATATCTGGCCTTCAGGATTGTGAGAAAAGAAGTTGTCATGGCTGCTCTAGCAAACTGTACAATAGTTAGGCAGCTGAATTCTGAAGCAGTCTTCCTAGTTGTAAAACCTGCTGCTGTCAATTCCTAGCTGTGTAACTTTGGGCAAATTATTTACCCTTTTTCTATAAAATGGGGATGATAGCAATAGTACCAATAGAGTGACAGCCATCTGGTCTGCCCCAGTCTGAGGGGTCTTCTGGGATGCAGGACTTTTTGTGCTAAAATCTGACGAGTCACCCTACACTGAATATGGTTGCTGTGAAAATGAATGAAGAATTCCTAGTACATGGTAAACACGCTAAGTATAGTTACCATTAAATATATTTCAGATTTAGCTTAACTGTTAAGTCTGAAATACTTTCAGGGAAAGAGATACTTTCCCTGACCCCATAATCTGGATTAGGACTCCTTGTTAGGTTATGTTTTATTTTTAAAAAAAAAGTTTTTATTGATTTTAGAGAGAGAAGAGAGAAACATCAACTGGCTGCCTCCTGCATGCCCCCTGCTGGGAATCCAGCCTGAAACCTGGGAATGTGCCCTGACCTGGCATTGAACCTGCCAACTTTTGGTGTATGGGTTGAGTCTCAACCACCTGAGCCATGCCAGCCAGGACTCCTTGTTAAGTTCTTTCATAGCATCTGGTTCTTTTTTTTTTTTTTTTGTAGGTGGTTTCCCAAAATCCATTCTCCTTATTTCCAATAACAATAGGACCCCTGATTTCTAACTGGGCACATGGCTGCCTGGAATAAAGACTATTTCCCAGCTTTCCTGGTAGAAGAGTAAGTTTTGACCAATGGGCTATGAGCCAATGCGATATGTGTAAATTCTGGGTTGTACCCTTCAAGTGGCAGGGGAGAAATTGACATCTGTATTTTCACTAACTGCTAACTAAAATTCAGAGAGGGAGAGGGAGAGAGATAGAAACATAAATGATGAGAATTATTGATGCCTCCTGCACGCCCTCCACTGGGGATGGAGCCCACAACCTGGGCATGTGCCCTTGACCGGGTTGAACCTTGGGACCCTTTAGTCCGCAGGCCAACGCTCTATCCACTGAGCCAAACCAGCCGGGGCTGGATAGAGTTCTTGGGCCCCCGACCACAGAGTTTAGGAGAAACGTTACGCTGGAGGCACAACTGCAAATACATAGCCAGAGTTGAGAGTGAAAGCTAAAGAGGGTATATCATGGAGGGACTCTATCTAACACGCAGGAATGATGGTCCAACAGGGAAGGGTCACGATCGGATGGATGCACATTTCAGAAAGAACCAGGCTGGCTGCAGCATGAGCAGTTTAGGCAACTCAGGAGGCAGGAGGTGCCAGCCGGGACCCAGATGCAGGCAGCTGCTGGCTTGCACCAGTCCAGGTCGTCGCAACTAGACCCAACTCTAATACCGAGGGGCCTGAGGATAAGCGAGTACCAAAGGAGGCTCGCCTACTATGGAGATGAACGTTTAAAAGTTACACATCCAGCTAGCAATCTGTCCAAGTATTCTCCAGTCTCCTACCTGGGTGCATACATCTTTCCAAGGAGCTGGCGGGGGGCGGGGTAGGCTGGCGGGAGCGGTTGCATTGACGCAGGGCTTTCCTGGAGCCGAGCAGCAGCAGTGAGCGCGGCGGCGGCGCGGAGCAGAGAACCACAGCGACCCCTGCCGCTCCTCCGAGCCACGGCGTCCCAGCGCCGCTTCCCGCCGCCGCCCGTGAGCGCGCGGGGCGTGCTGGCGTGGTGCGCGGGCGCGACGGCGCGGGGTCGAAGGCACGCGCGTCGGTGTCATGGCGGGGCTTGGCGCCCTCCATTCTGGGGTTGGCCTGGGGCCCC